TCTCCTGCTGATCCTGTTCCAGAAAGACGGAACACAAGGCGGGAACCATCTTCGAATAAAATTCGAAGACCCTGCAAAAAAAGGAGATGGGAAGAAATAACTATATGAAGTAAAGTTAGATGTCCAATAGTTCATCGGCAATAAGTGACTCTCTAACCAATAATCTAACCTCCAAATTATCCAACATGCTAGATCAAAAGAAGTGTTTCCGCTAAACTCTTAACTACTGCAACAGGACTCCTTCTACAGTCAGCCACTACAGCATAGTCCTTTCTCATGACCGATCCCTATGAACTTCCCACAGTGACAAAGAAATACGCACCTGTTTTGTGGCCACAGACCCATCGATAGGATCAGTATATTGGAAGTTGTCCGCGAGTTTCACCTGAATTTCCGTTTTTAGAGTGGAAAAAACCATAAAATTTTTCACACCAAGATCCTTCAGATAAGTGGCCCAGACTTAAAACCAACAGCGAAAAAAAAACTCTTTCCTGTCTTCAATTTCAAATGGCCACGAACTTCAAGGAACAAACGGTGGGAGCCAAAAGATGGCGCGTCAAAACAACAGCCTCTTGCTTGGCAGCTTCCTGCTACCCAATGTCACAAGACAAGTGGTGATCCTGTTGGATAAAAGCCGGAATTACTTGGGCCGAAATCTTAATAATCAGTACTGCTTACAGACAGAATAAAAAACTGAGAGAGAAAATTCCCTTTCATGATTCTCTTGAAGAGAAGGGCGGCTCTACACCGTCTAGTAGGGAAATATTTGATGTTCTCGATAATAAAAAGAAAGACAAAGAATAAGATGAAGAGATCAAACTAAGGAGAAGAGCGAAAGGACCGTTTGGATGAAGCAGCCAGCGGACCTTAGTATTATGACGGTCCTGCTTTTAGCCATGGAATTCAGACTTCGCACTATACTCGCTCATCTACTGAGACGCATAACTAACATCGTCGCGGGCGGTGTGAAACTGTACTAACACCACCCCGACAGCGTTTTGCAGCAAAGTGAACTGTTCAGGAAGAAAACAAGCAATGGTAGAGAACGACGCAGATGGGACTTTTCCATGCCTTCTGACACCGCCCCGACAGATTGCCACGATATCCATACTTATAACGCTCTGTAGTGCCAATGGTGTGTTCACCTTCGTCGAGTAAAAGTTCAAAGCTGTCTAAATGTTCACCTTCGTCGAGTAAAAGTTCAAAGCCGGCTAAATCGCGAAGGTAATGGTTTGTTTTCAGGGGGACTTCTTTATTGGGGCTCATGGGATGCGCTGAAGCTAGCCTAGTATGCATGACGATTTGACCGGGTAACTTACAAATAAGAACTTCGAGGGACTTTCAGGTCCTGAAAGCGACGCTCTGTCTGAAACCTTGACCAATGAAGCGGTTTCGCCAATAACAAGCTTAGTCAGCTTCACAGTACAAAAAGGATACTATAGTATTTCTGCATTGTATGGCATACAGTATGGTGTGAATAAAAAGTATAAAGGTAACCTTATATGTAACGTTGTTGGCACTGAGCTCTCTTCCAACAAAAGCTGGCATTTGTGCTTCAAGGAATGTCATTAACAGGTTAGCTCCTGAGGCGTCCACATTTTCATAGTCGTATCTGACATAAAAGATTATTGAAGAATACTGAATCGTTCAGGATAAGTAGTCACCTTGTGAAAACATTTCGCCCATAACGTGTCCATAGCTCTTTCACAATATCCTCCACCGAAAGCTTTTTCTCGGCCAAAATTTGCAACCATGCCAACATCGCCCATACACCATCTTTTTCTCTAAAATCCAAATATGACCGTGATCTAATAAAAAAATGTAAAGTTTGAAGTGACCTTATATGATCGCTACCAGTTCCAAAGGACTCTTCACCGCACAGATATATACGACCAGCATCCATCAAGTTTCCGAAGTACTTCCATCCAGTTGGTGTTACGAAAACCTAGGAAAAACAGGCGAAATAGTAAAAAGTACCTATAAACGAAGAAAATTCTAGAGAACGTCTATGGTTTGAGTCACTCAACGTGAGGGAACTCGGCGCTATTTTCTCCAAGGCATATTTGTGAATTCTGTCAGCATACCGGGGAATGTTCAAACAACATAGCATGCAACCAGTCGAAATAAACCAGTTTTATATTCGAGTATCTACCAACAATTGTTCCCTGCGGATGATGTCGAGGCGTGCCAGGAGGATGGTTTTAGTGCGGAGGCAGTCGCACGACTTGTTTCTTCTTTCGTTTGTAGCACAGTTTTCGTAGGGTAAATTAAAGTTAAAAAATATGTAACGATTCCCACAAGTTCGCTGCTTCAATTGAAAAAAAAATGATGCACAGTTTGATTTTCCGTGCCCATCGCTGCGTGATGCCCACATCGAAAATCTCCCGCGCTCGTTACCAGACGGTGTGCGCCGCTGCGACGGTGCGCAAATTACGATTCTCTTGTCGGCCTCCCTTCAGTAACTGGCGGAGAATGGGCTGGCGGCATGCCAAACGCAGCCGTGCTGACATGTATCATCATCCGCAGCGAACAAGACTGTAACGTGGAGCGGTGAACAGTAAACGGCCACATTGAATCGATAACAGATAGTTTGGTTTCAGAAAACATGTCTGGTTTCAGAAAACATGTTCGCAAGAAAGGTGCCTATCCGCAATCACTTCTCGCATTTGCACGTCTTTTCTTTACTCAAATCCTATCTTGTGCACTTCAGAACAAAAAATATAGAGGGCTCACATGGGCACTATGTACCCTTGTAACTCCACTTTGTCACATCGAGACCGAATAATTACCGAAATTAGCCTCAGGGGTAGAACTGGCTAGGACGGGTGTAGTTTAACTTCCTTGAACGGAAATGTCGCAACAGCGCGGTGCGAACCCACCCTCTCTAAGTTCAGGTCTACAGCGAATCTAGTGGTTTCAGGGTTTTTGCGCGGGTGCAGTGGTCGATATGAATGTGGAACTGCCTAGAGAGTCGAACTCTCTCAGGAGACAAATTTTAAGACAAGTTTACTTCCAGAGACATACCCAAGAGAAAAATTCTGGCCCGAAATTCAAATTGGTGTCGTAAAAGGTGAACAACTTCTGCAGATATTTCTATGATACTCAGATATGTCTCATGTTTACGAAAGTATTAGGTTGGC